TATATATATATATATATATATATATATTAATCTTGTGTGTGTGTGTGTGTGTTATGTGCGGGTACTCCTGTGGAAGCCTAAAGATCCTCTGGCACTGGAGTTCCAGGCAGTTGTGGGGGACCAGTGTGGTCCCCTGCTAGAGCTGAGCCGTCTCTCCAGCCCCAGAAGTTGAGCTTTTTTGAGTGAGAACTCGGGACTGTCAGCAGGCTCAGTGGTGAGGTCTGTGAGCATCTGCTGCTCTGTGGGATTTTTGCAAACACAAAAGGGCACATTTGAGCCCTTTCCAGTATTTCCAGTCCTGATTTTCATTGTTTTATTTTGGATTTCTATGGTTGTTTTAAAGGCAAGAGCTCACCCTGTAGCCCAGGCTGGGCTTGAACTTGAAGCAGTCCTCCCGCCTCGGCCCTTAGTGCTGAGATTATAAGCTTGGTATCTCCCAGTGATTTTCTTTGCATTTTTTGTGTAAGTGTGTATGTTCAGGTTTTTATGCATATGTATGTGTGTACCGGTGCACGTGAAGGTCAGAGGTCAGCTTCTGATTTCCCTCCTCCAGAGCCATCTACCTTGTTTCGATACAGGGTGTTTTCCTTGGACCTGAAATTCTCAAAGTAGGTCAGGTGGGGCTGGAGAAATGTTTCAGTGAATAAGAGCACTGACTGCTCTTCCAGAGGACCCAGGTTCAATACCCAGCATCCACATCGCAGCTCTGTAACTCCAGTTTCAGGGAATCTGCCACCTTCACACCAATGCACATGAAATAAATTTAAAATAAATCATTAAAAAAAAAAAAGACACGGTCTCAAAGTAAGTCTGGCTGTGGGTCCAGTGGGCCCCCAGACATGCCTCTGCCTCAACCCCACAGCTGGCAAGGCAAGCAGGCACTGCCGTATGTGGCTTTCCTCAGGAGATTTATTTTTACTATTTTCTAGAGCTTCTATAAATAAAAATATTGGTGTGTGTGTGTGTGTGTTTGTGTGTGTGTGTGTGTGTGTGTGTGTTGTATGTAGGTGCTTACAGAGGCCAGAAGAGGGCGTCAGATCCCCTGCAGCCAGGGTTACAGGCGGTTGGTCCTTCAGCCACTGAATTTGGGTGCCAGGAACAGAACTCGCTTCTCTGCAGGAGCAGCCAGGGCTCTAACCTCCTTAGCCATCATCTCCAGTCTGTGCTGACTCTCTTCTGTTAAGTGGGTTTTGGGACTCTAACTCATGCTTAGGCAGAAAGCGTTTTACCCCTTAATCATCTATCTCTTCAGCTCCTCCATATGATGGTCATTTCTTTTCTTTTCTTTCTTTCTTTTTTTTTTTTTTTTAAGTTTTTCGAGACAGGGTTTCTCTGTGTAGCTTTGGTGCCTTTCCTGGATCTCGCTCTGTAGACCAGGCTGGCCTCGAACTCACAAAGATCCGCCTGGCTCTGCCTCCCAAGTGCTGGGATTAAAGGCGTGCACCACCACCGCCCGGCAAAATAGAGTGTGATTTTTTTTTTTAAATTTATTTATTTTTATTTTATGTACGTTGGTGTTTTGCCATGGATATTGGGTCCTCTGGAACTGGAATTACAGATGGTTGTGAGCTGCCATGTGGGTACTGGGAATTGAACTAGGGTCCTCTGGAAGAGCAGTCAGTGCTCTTAACCACTGAGCCATCTGTCCAGCCCCATGATGGTCATTTCTTGTGTGCCATAGAACCTTCCAGGAGGTGGACACTGGCAGAAGGTCAGGGGTTGGAACTGGACTGGATGGCTCTGGAGTACTCAGCCAGGAAAGCTGGTCCCGGCCAGGGGAAAGAGACCTAGAGGGTAAGGCAGGTGTTGCTGTCTGTCCTTGTCCCTCAGGACACAGGCCTGTACTACCACCGCTACCTCCAGGAGGTCATCAATGTGCTAGAGACAGACGGGCACTTCCGGGAGAAGCTGCAAGCTGCCAACGCTGAGGACATCAAGGTGCGCTGGACATGGGCTGAGGGGAGGTGTGCTCAAGGGAGGTTCTCGGGGTCACAGGTGGGAAGGAGTCTGGGGACCCCCAAAGATGTGTTTAAACATAGACATGCGTTCTCAGCTCTCCACTCCAGCTATGGAACCTAAGTTTTCCATCTGTCAAGAGGTAGCCCTGGTCCCCTTGAGTCCTTGAGTGAAACAACCTAACGAAGGACGTGTCCACGGTTCCCAGGCACAGGCCACCATAGACAGAGGTGGCATCGGGAGCGTGACATCTCCTGTGCTGTGTCCACAGTCAGAGAGACGGATGCACAGGGGTTCACCTACCCTTCTGCTTTCTGTCAGCTCTGGAGCCCATTCAGAGGATACTGCCACAGTCAGGGAGGGTCTTCCGCTCCCTAACTGTCTAGAAACTCCCTCCTAGATGTGCTCAAATGTTTGTCCTCTAGATAATTCTAGACCTGGTCAAGTTGACAGTCTTGAGCATTCCAGATGACAGACCTGGAAAAGAAGCCCTCTTGGTGCCCTCAGCTGTTTGCCGGCAGCTCCTTGGCACTGATGGCCGGGCAGTGTCGCAGGGGCTTGTACCTAGCAGAGACACTGGGGAGCCCTGGAGAGCTGTGAGCAGGAGAGGCCAGGGTCAGCTCTGATGGAGGAATACAGAGTCAAGATGAAATCAGGCATGTCAGGCCCAGAGGAAGCACCAGACTCAGTCCTCTGTGTGGGTGGGAGACGGAGATGTCTGATGTCTTCCTAAGGGGGATGCCCATCTCAGGTGAATATTGAAAGACAGAATTGGTGGGAAAGAGGAGGCAGGAGAGTCAGTGGCCACAGGCAAAGGTCCTGTGGTGAGAACTCACGGGCGCTCACTCCCAGTCAGTACTGCCGGGTCTGAGGTGAGCTGGGCCTCTCTGCAAAGCTCGGGCTGCATCCTGGTCCTGTGGGCTTCCAGGTACCAGGGCTGGCTGCACAAAAGGAAGACAGGAGCACAGTGGAGCTTTGGGGGTTTGGGTGTAGGGGGTATAGAGTGGGACTACCCAGCACACCCCCTCCTGGCACTGCCTGACTCGGGGACCCCCTTCCCTGTCCTTGAAGAGCGGAAAGCTGAGCCGAGAGCTGGACTTCGTCAGCCATCATGTCCGCACCAAGCTGGACGAGCTCAAGCGACAGGAGGTATCGAGGCTGAGGATGCTACTCAAGGCCAAGATGGATGCAAAGCAGGAGCCCAGTGAGTGTGGCTGGCTTTGTGCTGGGAAGGGCGCGCTGTGGGCTCTTGGGAAAGCAGGTGGCAGTCACTCAGGATTTCTTTCTGGCACATTTTCACTGACATTATTCTCTCTGCTTTTCCCCCCTCTGGTTTATTTCTGGAGGGTTTGTGGTGAGTTTGCCCTTCTGAGACGGGGTCTCATGCAGCCAGGCTAGCCTCAGACTTACCGTGTAGCCAAGGATGACCTTGGACTCCTGACCCCTCTGCACCTACCTCTTGAGTGCTAGTGCAGCCACCACACATTGCTGCTTTTTCTTTTAAATATCCTTATTTAACTATAATAAGGGCCTGTGAGATGGGTAAAGGCACATGCCCCCAAGCCTGATGACCTGAGTTCCATCCCTGGAACCATGCTGGGGAAGAGAGAACCCACGCCACAAAGCTGACCTCTGACCCTCACATGAATTCTGTGACATGTTCCTGTGCACCCGGGTGCTAAAGGAACCAATAGCTCAAATGTCCACCAGCTGTGGGGTGGGTAAATCAAATGTGGGGTGGATAGCTCAAATGTCTGCACCATGGAACATTGGTCAGCCCTAAGAAGGTATGGGAGGCTGGCGTGCAGAACAAGGGAAATAACCCTTGGAAATAGGGTGCTGTATGAAGCCAGACACAGAAGGCGACCAAACACATGGAATGACCCAGTCGGCAAATCCACAGAGAAGGGATGGGGATGAGTGTCTGCCGGCAGCTGGACAGAGAAAAACACCGTGCTAGCTGAGGGGCTGTGCTCTTTGGGGTATGACAGCAGCGTCCTAAAAGTCATGGTGGCGGTGTTTGCACGTACCTGTGGATCTACTAAAAACCGTCCAACTGTATGCTTTGAATGAATGGTTCAGGGCTTGGCAAGATGGCTCACCCAGTAAGGCACTTGCTCCCAAGCCTTAGGAGCAACTTGATGAGAGACATACAACCTGGATGAGACCTGTGCACACTCACCACCACACAGCCACAGACTAATCAGGGCTACTCAGGGGGCTCATGGTATTAGGCTGTAGTGGCCGGGTGGACTTGTATCAGGGATCTATTATGAGCAACATCTGGCGTCGCTGTCATGGTTACTGTTATTTTAAGCATCAGAGTCAGTGGAGGACTCACCTCCTCCGTCATCCTCAGGCACTGTCCCAGGCCCCCGTGCCATCCTCCTTGCCTCCTCGGCCCTCCGTGACTTCCCTCTTTCCACTCGCGCCCTGAGTCAGGGGTTCTGACAGAAAGCCGTGATGGGTGTTGTCTTATCCAGACTTGCAGGTGGACCACCTGAACCTCCTCAAGCAGTTTGAACACCTGGACCCGCAGAACCAGCACACATTTGAGGCGCGGGACCTAGAGTTGCTGATCCAGACGGTAGGGTGAGGACCACACCAGCTGAGGTGCCTGGCGGGGAGGAGGAGGGAACTGAGTCGAGATGTGGGCCCTGCCTCCTGGTGTTCTGGAGGAGAGCAGTGAGGCTGGGTGTGGGTGTGGGTCAGCCCTCAACGCCCTCCTGCCTTTCCACAGGAGAGCAGGTGCCTAGGGCTGTACTGGAGTCCGCTCTCTGCACTCTAAGGTGCTCAGCAGCAGTCCCGGGCTTTGCCCCAGATGCCTAAGACTTCCTGACGCAGCGAGCAAAGCTCGTCTGGCGTTGACAGCTGTCCCTTGGTGCGTGGCCTCCTGGGTGGACCGGCTGTCCTCTGACAACTGTTAGTGCCTTGTTGCCGCAGTGACGACTAGTTACCAACTTAGTAGCTTGAGAAAGCATGAATTCGAGGCTGGGCGGTGGTGGCCCACGCCTTTGATCCCAGCATTCTGGAGGCAGAGGCAGGCGGATCTCTGTGAGTTTGAGGCCAGCCTGGTCTACAGAGTTCCAGGACAGCCAGGTCTACACAAAGAAACCCTGTCTCGAAAAGCGAAAAGAAAAAAAGAGGGGGGGGGAGAGGGA